GGTGTGGATCGGGTGTGGATGTGAGACCGGATCCCGCGGGCGGGAGCGCCGCCGTGCTTCCCAAGCGGCGCACTATCCAGTGCGCCACCCGGCCGGCCCCCCCCTTTTTTTTTTTTTGTCCTTTTTGAGACCGGCTGCACTGCGCTCAGCCAGTGAGCGCTGTGAGCGCACCGGTCATCCCTATATAGGATCCGAACCCGTGGCGGGAGCGCTGCTGCGCTCCCAGCGCCGCACTCTCCCGAGTGCACCATGGGCTCGGCCCAGAATTCACCTTTTTAAAGTATGTATTCTAGTAGATGTTAGTACATTCACAGTGTTGTGCTCCCACCCCCTCTGCTAGTTCCAAACATTTTCATCACCCCAAAAGAAAACCTGTACCCATTTAGCAGTCTCTTCTTCTTTCCCTCAGCTGCCGTCAACCTCCAGTCCACTTTCTCTCCAAGGATTTGCCTGTTCTGGACATTTCACATAAATGCATCATACAACAAGTGGCCTTTTGTGTCTGGCTTCTCACTCAGCATAGTGTCTTCAAGGTTCATGCACGTTGTAGCGTGTGTCGGTGCTTCATTCCATGTTATGGCCGAATAGCATCCCGTTGTTTGAATTTACCACATTTTGTTTATCCATTCTTCCATCAGTGGGCATTTGGATTGTTTCCACCTTTTGGCTACAGTCAGCAATGCTGCTGTAAATATTTTTGTGAACATTTTCATGAGGACATGCATTTATGGTTCTCTCTGGTGTCTCACGATTATTTCTTAGTGACTGTTTTCTCACGTGAATTCTTGGGACCACATCATTTGCTTTTCTCCTCCAGGAACATGAACAAGAACGTGAACTTGGAACTGCTGAGCTGGTGAGCAGACATAACGATGAAACTGACTGGCTGCTGCAGACTCAGGTGACGGGGTCCACAGGGTGCATGGCAGGGGCCCTCAGCCCTCACATGTCCATGGTGCGTGCTCTGTAATTCACAGTAGGCGCAAGAGACCGGTCACAGAGTAGATGGGGTGGGCCGCCAGCTTGCTGTCTCCTCCTGTCTTCTTTCTTTGTTCCCAAGTTCTGTGTGGGGGGCCATCACAAGGGCCGGTGGAGGGGACACGCATGGATGTCCAGGTGGCCGGGAGTCTGGCCAGGTGCCAGGCTGCGTGAATGACACGCACTGCTTGGCTGGCTGCTCTACCCATCAGCTGCAAGTCCTATTCTTTAAAGACAAACAGTGCTGTTGCAGCAGTCAGGGAAGCTGTGAGAGGGGGGCCAGTGGGAGGCCCTGGGTGCAGCTGAGACTTGGAGACTGAAAGGCTGTGGGGTGGGGGGATATGTACTAGCAGCTGCCAGGACTGCCTCTTCACAATGTCCTCGCACTCCCTCACAGAGTTTCCTGCTTTTTTTGCATCTGTTCTGTGTGTCCTTCTTATTCATACTCATTCCACACTTTTCTTTTTTCTTTTTTCTTTTTTTTTTTGTCTTTTTTTTTACTGACTGGTAACGGGATCGCAACCCCCAGTGTCGCGTCCGTACCAGGGACCGGCAACGGGATCACAACCCTCGGTGTTGCGCCCGCACCACGCTCAGCCAGTGAGTGGGAACTGGTCTCCACGTGGGATCCGAACTCTCGGTGGGAGCGCTGCAAGCAGCACACTCTCCAGTGCGCCACTGGGCCGGCCCATTCCACACTTTTCTATGTCTCCCTTGCGCTCTGGTTCCGAGCATGGTGCCTCATCAGAAATGCTTCTCTCTATTGCAGACAGTGCATAGCCTTGAGCTGGAAGCGCTGCGCCTGAGTCTGAGCAACATGCACACTGCACAGTTGGAGCTGACGCAGGCCAACCTCCAGAAGGAGAAGGAGACGGCGCTGACGGAGCTGCGGGAGATGCTGAACAGCCGGCGCGCTCAGGAGCTGGCCCTTCTGCAGAGCAGGCAGCAGTATGAGCTGGAGCTCATCAGAGAGCAGCATGCACATGAGAAGGAAGAGATGGTGCTCAGGTGTGGACAGGAAACAGGTACTGCACACGCTCAGGTGTGGATGGGAAAAAGGTCCTGCACACGCTCAGGTGTAGATGGGAAAAAGGTCCTGCACACGCTCAGATGTGGACAGGAAAAAGGTCCTGCACACGCTCAACGCTCAGGTGTGGATGGGAAAAAGGTCCTGCACACGCTCAGATGTGGACAGGAAAAAGGTCCTGCACACGCTCAGATGTGGACAGGAAAAAGGTCCTGCACACGCTCAGGTGTGGACGGGAAAAAGGTCCTGCACACGCTCAGGTGTGGATATCACCTGCCCAGTCCTGCTTTTGTACTGCCCAGCTGCTAGTACAAAAAGAGTTTCTCCGGCACCTTTTTTTAAGTGATAGTTTTATTGAGACGTACTTCACGTTCTGCACAGTTCTCCTATTTGAAGTGTACTATTAGTGTATTCAGAGTATACACTCTGCTGGTGGTGGCCATTTGTATATTTAGAGTAGTATGATCATCACCACAGTTTAAGTTTAGCACATTCACCACCCCAAGAAGAAGCCTTGTACCCCTCTCAGTTGCTCCTCATTTCTCTGCTGGGTAATCTGCTTGCTCTTCTGCTTATTTAATTTTTCACTTGAAAAATAAAAGCTGCGAGTCCAGCTGTAGATGTGTTGAAAGTCTTTTCCCTCTCTGGGTTCTGTCCACCACCCTCTTCCCAAGGGACCGTTTTCTTAGTTTCTTGTGATGCCTTCCTGTGTTCCTTCATGCAGTTTCAAGCAAACACAAGTACGTGCTTTTATTTTCCTTCCTCTTTTTTAAAAATATAAAATGTGGTTTGCCTTTTGCCCATTTCTGTGCTGTTTTTTTCATGAGCTCCCTGGATGGCACCATCCCAGTCTGCAGAGGCCATGCCTCTCCTCTGGCCTCTGATCCTGACTGTGGTTGGGCCTCGGGTGGCTAGCCGACCCTTGTGCCCGCAGAGGCAAGGTCTCTGGCCCTTTGGCTATTCTCATGGCAGTGCATTGTCCACTGTCACCTGTACTCCACCCCCCCAATCCTGACTGTGCCCTTCCCTTCGGCCTCCTGCTGTTTCTGCCTGTCTCCCCTATCTCCAGCTGTGTGTTCACCTCTCAGGTCCATGCACTGTGTTCATACTTGCCCTTCCTCATCCTCTGATGCTGGTGTTCCTCAGGAGGCTCCACAGCACCTGAGTTGTTGCTTGTGCCAGTTTTCTTGTGCTGTTTCCATCTGGGGCTGGGAGTTGTTGGACCCTAGAGTGGTCTCCCTCACCTTGATTGCCAACACCTGGCCTGGATTCTGGCACACAGGACACTGAACTAAAGGCCAGGGCTCTTGCCTGAGGTTGGAGCACATTTTGAAGTGGTCATGACAAGTAGGAACCACAGGAGCAGACGTTCATCTGCTCTCCTAGATTGTCCTCATGGCTGGAAATCTCATGGTACTTTGTTTTGGCATGAATACAATTAGTTATTTAAACTAGACATCCTCAGAGATGTGTGCTGCTGTCCTGTGAACATTGGTGAGTGTCCCTGGAGCCCCTCTCCTGGGTGATTGAGTTGTTGAAAAGGTTGAGACTCAGTGGTCTGACCTTTTTGTATTTTCTTGCAGCTAAGCTGAAGGAGAAGTTACAATCGGAAATGGAGAAAAATGCCCAGATAATGGAGGTACGTATGATTGATTAGAAAACATAATTCTGTGTGTACATGCTTTTCCTTTTTTACACGCCCCATGAAAAAGCCAGTGAGCTGGCTGGCAGCTCATTCAGTTGGAGCGTGGTGTTATAACACCAAAGGCAGGGGTTCAAATCCCTATAGCAGCTAGCTGTCAAAGAAAAAAAGAAAAGCCAAGCAAAATCCAGTCAGAGCCTCATTAGAATACACTGTTAGAAAGCAGACTGCATTCTTTTGCTTGCACAATTTGTATCTGTCAAAAAACTTGTTATGCTCTTTCATGTTGATTTCTGTAGCGTAAAGATGCTCATCCATCCCCTCTAGGCTGCTTTTCTGAGTGGCCCGATGGCCTGGCCCCAACCATGTCTGGGATGCAGCCTCTGACCTCAGGGACTTGTGTCCGGTGGAGGACATCAAATGTGGCAACTCAGTAAAATGCTTGGAGTGTGGGTGATGGGGGCCAGGCGCCTTGAGGAAGTCACACAGGGAAGAGGTTTCCGGCGGGGTGGGGCACACTTAGGTGTGGGGGTGTTATCAGGGACCTTGGACAGTGATGCCGAGTCTGTGCTGGGCCCTGTGCAGGAGGGGTGAGCCACCAGCCGAGTCTGGTGTCCTGGCTGCCCTCTCTGGCTGCTGGCAAAGGTTGGGTATCAGTGCAGGGTTGGGGGTCATGCGCCAGCCTTCTGCCCCTCTGACCTGGACAGTGAGGATTCGTTTCCTAGGGCACACGGGACAGAGCCCAGCCTCTGGGCAGAGGTCAGTGGAGTTGCGGTTGGTGCCCTGGGCTTTGTNGCCACTGGGCCGGCCCATTCCACACTTTTCTATGTCTCCCTTGCGCTCTGGTTCCGAGCATGGTGCCTCATCAGAAATGCTTCTCTCTATTGCAGACAGTGCATAGCCTTGAGCTGGAAGCGCTGCGCCTGAGTCTGAGCAACATGCACACTGCACAGTTGGAGCTGACGCAGGCCAACCTCCAGAAGGAGAAGGAGACGGCGCTGACGGAGCTGCGGGAGATGCTGAACAGCCGGCGCGCTCAGGAGCTGGCCCTTCTGCAGAGCAGGCAGCAGTATGAGCTGGAGCTCATCAGAGAGCAGCATGCACATGAGAAGGAAGAGATGGTGCTCAGGTGTGGACAGGAAACAGGTACTGCACACGCTCAGGTGTGGATGGGAAAAAGGTCCTGCACACGCTCAGATGTGGACAGGAAAAAGGTCCTGCACACGCTCAGGTGTGGACGGGAAAAAGGTCCTGCACACGCTCAGGTGTGGATATCACCTGCCCAGTCCTGCTTTTGTACTGCCCAGCTGCTAGTACAAAAAGAGTTTCTCCGGCACCTTTTTTTAAGTGATAGTTTTATTGAGACGTACTTCACGTTCTGCACAGTTCTCCTATTTGAAGTGTACTATTAGTGTATTCAGAGTATACACTCTGCTGGTGGTGGCCATTTGTATATTTAGAGTAGTATGATCATCACCACAGTTTAAGTTTAGCACATTCACCACCCCAAGAAGAAGCCTTGTACCCCTCTCAGTTGCTCCTCATTTCTCTGCTGGGTAATCTGCTTGCTCTTCTGCTTATTTAATTTTTCACTTGAAAAATAAAAGCTGCGAGTCCAGCTGTAGATGTGTTGAAAGTCTTTTCCCTCTCTGGGTTCTGTCCACCACCCTCTTCCCAAGGGACCGTTTTCTTAGTTTCTTGTGATGCCTTCCTGTGTTCCTTCATGCAGTTTCAAGCAAACACAAGTACGTGCTTTTATTTTCCTTCCTCTTTTTTAAAAATATAAAATGTGGTTTGCCTTTTGCCCATTTCTGTGCTGTTTTTTTCATGAGCTCCCTGGATGGCACCATCCCAGTCTGCAGAGGCCATGCCTCTCCTCTGGCCTCTGATCCTGACTGTGGTTGGGCCTCGGGTGGCTAGCCGACCCTTGTGCCCGCAGAGGCAAGGTCTCTGGCCCTTTGGCTATTCTCATGGCAGTGCATTGTCCACTGTCACCTGTACTCCACCCCCCCAATCCTGACTGTGCCCTTCCCTTCGGCCTCCTGCTGTTTCTGCCTGTCTCCCCTATCTCCAGCTGTGTGTTCACCTCTCAGGTCCATGCACTGTGTTCATACTTGCCCTTCCTCATCCTCTGATGCTGGTGTTCCTCAGGAGGCTCCACAGCACCTGAGTTGTTGCTTGTGCCAGTTTTCTTGTGCTGTTTCCATCTGGGGCTGGGAGTTGTTGGACCCTAGAGTGGTCTCCCTCACCTTGATTGCCAACACCTGGCCTGGATTCTGGCACACAGGACACTGAACTAAAGGCCAGGGCTCTTGCCTGAGGTTGGAGCACATTTTGAAGTGGTCATGACAAGTAGGAACCACAGGAGCAGACGTTCATCTGCTCTCCTAGATTGTCCTCATGGCTGGAAATCTCATGGTACTTTGTTTTGGCATGAATACAATTAGTTATTTAAACTAGACATCCTCAGAGATGTGTGCTGCTGTCCTGTGAACATTGGTGAGTGTCCCTGGAGCCCCTCTCCTGGGTGATTGAGTTGTTGAAAAGGTTGAGACTCAGTGGTCTGACCTTTTTGTATTTTCTTGCAGCTAAGCTGAAGGAGAAGTTACAATCGGAAATGGAGAAAAATGCCCAGATAATGGAGGTACGTATGATTGATTAGAAAACATAATTCTGTGTGTACATGCTTTTCCTTTTTTACACGCCCCATGAAAAAGCCAGTGAGCTGGCTGGCAGCTCATTCAGTTGGAGCGTGGTGTTATAACACCAAAGGCAGGGGTTCAAATCCCTATAGCAGCTAGCTGTCAAAGAAAAAAAGAAAAGCCAAGCAAAATCCAGTCAGAGCCTCATTAGAATACACTGTTAGAAAGCAGACTGCATTCTTTTGCTTGCACAATTTGTATCTGTCAAAAAACTTGTTATGCTCTTTCATGTTGATTTCTGTAGCGTAAAGATGCTCATCCATCCCCTCTAGGCTGCTTTTCTGAGTGGCCCGATGGCCTGGCCCCAACCATGTCTGGGATGCAGCCTCTGACCTCAGGGACTTGTGTCCGGTGGAGGACATCAAATGTGGCAACTCAGTAAAATGCTTGGAGTGTGGGTGATGGGGGCCAGGCGCCTTGAGGAAGTCACACAGGGAAGAGGTTTCCGGCGGGGTGGGGCACACTTAGGTGTGGGGGTGTTATCAGGGACCTTGGACAGTGATGCCGAGTCTGTGCTGGGCCCTGTGCAGGAGGGGTGAGCCACCAGCCGAGTCTGGTGTCCTGGCTGCCCTCTCTGGCTGCTGGCAAAGGTTGGGTATCAGTGCAGGGTTGGGGGTCGTGCGCCAGCCTTCTGCCCCTCTGACCTGGACAGTGAGGATTCGTTTCCTAGGGCACACAGGACAGAGCCCAGCCTCTGGGCAGAGGTCAGTGGAGTTGCGGTTGGTGCCCTGGGCTTTGTGGAGAGATGGGTTTGTGAATGCATGGGTTGCATTTCATGTAAGAGCCTGGTTCTGTGTCTGGGATGGGCGGTCCTTGTCCTCTGTTCACCTCGTGGATGCTTCTGTTCTCTCAGCACTGGCACAGAGCCAGCACTGGCTGGCTACTGAAGATCCATTTCCAGTGGTGGCAGTCAAGTCTGGGGATGAGGACTGCCCACTCTTGGTTTTTGACTGTGTGGTTTAAATTTCTTAGCACAGATAATCAACTATTGACCACAATTCCTTTTTCTTTTAAATTAGAACTTGAAGCAAGACTGGGAATCCGAAAGAGATTTATGTTTAGAAAATCTACGCAAAGAATTATCTGCAAAGCATCAGTCAGAAATGGAGAATTTACAAAACCAGTTTCAGAAAGAATCGGCAGAACAGAAAGCTGAGTTGGAGAAGATTTTTCAAGCCAAAAATGAGGCTGAACGTGAGCATCTAATTAAAATGAGCAAGTTTGGAAGGGGGGACTAAGTTTTCCTGTATAATAGGATAGACATCTGTGACTTGCCACGTGATGCCAGATCCTCAGTGCTTATGTTGTTGTCCCAGGCCTCTCAAGGTTGCTGGACCCTCCTGAAATTTGTTTCAGAGATATTTTTTACATGTTAGTTACTAAATTACTACTGTAATAGGACCGTGATTGTTCACTTTTGATACTCTGGGGGTTCACATTCCACAGGGGACACTCAGGTGACGTGGGTCAGGGGATGCCATCTGCACTTGAGTGTATGCGTCTCTTCCTCCTCCCAGGGGAGAACGAGATTGGTGAGATCAGGGTCTGGGCAGAGTCTGCTGGCCATGGCTCACCTGTGCCTCTTGCTGGCCATGCCCCTACTGTGCCACATGGTTGAGGCATGTGTGAGGTTCAAATGAGGGATCTATGTGGGGTGCCCAGAATGGAACCCAGGTGTGGCAGTGCTTTGAGTGTGAACTGTTACTATTACAGTTGTGCATGGCTTACCCACAAATAGGGCTGCATTCCAATAAGTGCATCATTAGGTAATTTTGTTGTTGGGCAAACGTCACAGAGTGTACTTGCACACACCTAGGTGGTACAGCCTGTTGCTCTTAGGCTACAGATAA